TCTATCTATCTATCTATCTATCTATCTATCTATCTATCTATCTATCTATCTATCTATCTATCTATCTATCTATCTATCTATCTATCTATCTATCGGCACATAGAAAGACTGTGTATTATATGTCAGATCTAAAAATTGAACAAAGTTGTGGACTCGCTGCTTTTAAAGTAAAATCCTTTCCCAATTTTTTTGCAAAACACCTGCAGAATTTCAATAACTGCCTTTTGAAACCCAACAATCTCTGCAGATTTACAGCACATGAATCTCATTTCCACCAATACTGAACTCTAAAAAAAGGTTCAAACTGAAAAAATGACCGTTCAGGAATGCAAAAACGGGGCCTCCTCCAACACCACATGACACCTTTTTTTAAAATTCTGGATAGATTGGATCCTTCCTTCTGCGAATGTGAGCAATTTCTGCCTGTTTCTAAGAACAGCCACTGAAGTAACTGTCAAAGAATTCTGTTTTCAGAGGCTACATCTTTGGTTTACAATGGCCACAGTCCTATGGATCGTCCATTTGTGAACTATATGTTCTACAGTAGTCACAGGGACATCGAGATGCTGGGAGATGGTCCTGTAGACATGCTGGTCTATACTTTTCTTTCTAATCCTCAGAAATAAGGAGGCCCTCTAGCCTCGTATGTAGGCCCACTGACTGATGGAGTACACCTGTGATGCTAATTAGTGGTCCCACTTTAACCTTTAACTTGTCCCTTTGGTCATGTTGCTTTCAACCTTTCCTGACGGGGCATTTTTGTCGAAACCTGTGTAATGAGTTTATTATTTTTCTCTAAAAACTCTGATGAAGCATGTTTGAAAAGCACTGTATTACATAGTTTCATTTTCATAGAATGTATATATGAAAATATAAATGTATATAATTATTATTACGTCAGATTCAAGTTATTTCTGTGACCATTGTGGGTTATATAATTGGGCTTTTAATGGCTATCATTAGCAAAACTGTTGAAATTACTACTCCATGGCAAGTTGTGTCCAGATCATTTTAATTGATGGTCAACTTAAGACTAATATTCCTGCATTTGAGAATATTGTGTGTGAGACTATACACAGAGGGTTTTAAACTTCATAAAAAATGTTGTGTTTTTATCATTATTATTATTATTTGTAGTACTATTATCATCATCATTATTATAATTATCATCATTATTATCATAAGAAGGTTCCCGGCTGGAGTCCCCGGGGGGACCAGGAGTTTGCATGTGCCTGCTCTGGGTTCTCTCTGGGTGCTTCCTCCCAGTGCCTCAAAAACAGCTTAATTGGACACTCTTAATTGCCTCTAGGAGGGAATGTGAGTGTGTGTGGTTGTGTGTCTCTGCGTGGCCCTGTGATTGGCTGGCGACCCGTCCAGGGTGTACCCGCCTCTGGCCTTATTCTGGCAGGTTTACTTGAGTTTAAAACCTTTTCACACCGAGCTTTTAGCGCACATTATTGGTCCTTGAGGTCAATCTTTAGTATTTTCTTTCTACTAACAAAATAGATAAGCTACTTTTCTCAGGGTCTATCTTTGGAGTGGCGATAGCTTGTAAGCCTTAAACTCTCGGGCCCTCGTTACCTCTTGCGGCTTGCAGTGGCAGGGCAGCTCCACGGTGACCCCGGCCAGGTAGGCTGCGTTTCGGAAGGTGAGGAAGGCGGGGCAGGCCTGACCGGAGAACACGTCCTGCTTATCCTCAGGGGCCTCGTAGCCCCACGCGTCAGGGGACAGGAGAAGAGCCGTCAGGAGCCCGACCATCAAGAGCCTCTCGCTCCTCTGTAGAGGAAACACCAGCATCGGGTCACAAATATGAGAAGATTAGAGAGTTTTTTGGATCATTGGATTAAATGGATTATTTACTTTCAAATCATTGGATGACTCAGGAGCAGTTCTGTGTCGTCAACACAACCATGGAGCATTCTTAGAAACCATATGCTGCTTCTTTTTTTTTTTATATCTCCAAGAGTATTTCACTGCCATAAACAGTGGTGGGAAGTAACGAAGTACAAGTACTTCGCTACTGTACTTAAGTACAATTTCCTTGTATCTGTACTTTACTTAAGTAGATTTAATAATGGATACTTTCTACTTTTACTCCACTACACTTAACAGTAAGTATCTGTACTTTCTACTTCACTACATTTCTATACAGCGTTTCGTTACTCGTTACATCCAAGACGCATTTCGTTTTTTTTTATTTGTTCGTTAGTTTGAAAGTATCCAATGGCGAGAGCAGAATCAGTCCGCTGAACCAATCCAAAGCGGGAAATAACCATCAGGCCCTCCCTCAAGAGGAGCAGCATAAAATATCTAAATCTAAACTGTCACAGGGGGTAAACACAATAAAAACATGCTTCATCTTCAGAATTGATCATTAAAATGGTACATTACTGATTTATTCAAACTAAATACGATAGGTACACTTAATGACATTATATAAGCCGTTAGCTATTATGGTTGGCAAGCACTTTTACTTTTAATACTTAAGTAGTTTTAAAAGCTTGTACTTTCTTACTTTTACTTAAGTAAAATAATAATGTGGTACTTTGACTTTTACTTGAGTAAATTTTTGTCTGTGTATTTGTACTTTTACTTAAGTACATTGTATGAGTACTTTCTCCACCACTGGCCATAAACTATTGTGATTCTTGGTTGCTTTTAAAAGACTACCCCAACATCAGTTTGGCAATAAAATCCTTATAGAATCCAACATTTTCTCACAGAAAACTCACTTTTTTTTTAACCTAAATCGTCTTTTTGACCAGTGTTTCTCTTGTGTGGACACCTATTCAGTTTTGCGACTGTGTATTTTTTCTCTCTGCCTTCTGAGGCGTGCCCTGGGTTGCTCCCGGTTGGCTGTGTGATGTAAGGAGGTGTAAGTTCTTGTTAGAAAAAGTCACCGGAAGCTATGCCCGGCGCGAGCATGTGCGTTTAGCTAGCACTGACTCTCCCACATGCTGGAATGTTTAAAACAGACACAAATAACCACACAAACTGTGTGTGTGTGTGTCTGTAAGGTGTGAGCCTGTGTGTTGCCGAGCCGGGGCCGGTGTTGCCCCCCCCCCCGGCCCCCCCCCCGGCGTGTTGTTTGCTGTCAGCTCAGGCTAAAGCGGCTTCTGTTCCAGTCCACAGCCTCTGTGCGTGCGCCTAATCTAGAAAAACAGAAAACAGAGAGCAGAGAGCTGGAAGCTGGACGTCTTCATAACTGTCTCTGAGCTGTCACTTAAAATGCACGTTGCGCTGACACGGATCCACCTTTTCTTCTGCACAACAGCGTGCACGGAGCGTGATGCAAGCTCTGACAACAGGGAGCACATTTATATTTTACAAAACCGAGGCCCAAAAAAAAAGCAACGAAATTGAAATTCATGTCATGTCCACCTCAAAAATGGAGCCAGTTACATTCATCTGTACTTGTTTTACCAATCAGAAAATGCTCCTCTCACGGTTAATGTTTAGTTGGGAACCTGATAATAAACCAGAGTGAATCAAAATATAAAAAATGACATTTATTGGGTCACATGTAAAGTAAATCAGATGAGATCTGACAGACAAAAACTTCCCTATGGGTCTCAGGAGGACTGGACACAACCAAGTCCTATTGGCTAGTTACCTTTGGTCATGAACAGGCCAGGTCCTAATTCATGCAGATGACAGGAATGTGCTAACAAATGGTGTGTGTGTGTGTGTTGACCTAAAAGTGGATCTAATGCAACAGAAAAAGAAAAAGAGAGAAAGGAAAAGAGAGATGAGAGAGTCTGTGGACACAGCCAGAGACTTTGACACAAAATATAGATTTAAAAGAAAATAAAACAACCAGTAATTTACATATCATATGATAGCATGCTATGCTAAAGTGAGTAATTATAGCTAAATTCTAACAGTTAGCCTCTGTAGTGTGTTACTGTTATGCCTCCATCCTTCCACTTTTCCATCCACCCATCTATTCCTCTGGATTATCTGGAGCAGCACACCTCTGCAGAGGTAAACATCTGTCCCCCCCCCCCCCAACTTATTGACTCTGAATAAACACGCCAACGCAAAAGCTGGGACAAAAATAGCGCCGCGTCCCGCCAACATTTATCTCCCAGCCTTATCGTCCCCAAACGCTCTCCCCAAAAAACCGGAGAGCTTTGTACTCCGTGGGCTCCTGCAGCCCCCCCCCCATCTGTTACCGGGCAGATTAAATTTGTGTAATCAAAGTCCAGACCTCGGCCTGGCTGGACGCTGTGTTGGACCTTCACAGAGCAGAAACCAGCGCTTCCAACTTCAACGAGGGGGCCAAAACCATTCAAAATGTAATGTGCCATTGATTTTAGTTCATCTAAAGTCATGTTTATTTTATTTCAAGATGATGCAAAGGCTGATTTTTTAAAGAAATGCCTCAAATATTTTGGGTAAATTGTATTTTCTTTCAAAATGATTACATATTGTCATATATTTGTTTTATATTTAAGACAACATTGAGTGCCGACATCTCAGGAAGCATGCTAAATTTGTCATATTTACCATTTTATTGTTTTTTCAGCAGTTTTTTGTGGCTTTTGATGTTTAATCTATGTGAAGATCATATTCAGAGGTGATCAAACACACAAACTAAACTAAAGAATAAGGAGGGGAACAATAATCCATCATTTGACGGCTTCTTTCCATATATTTTATTCATGAGTGTTTGCTCTAACACCCCCTCCTCTCGCATTGCTCCATATTTAGAATGGAGACCCCGGATTTTATCTATTGATCAGTCCTCCCCTGAGTTTTACTTAACATTTACGCACAGACTTTAAGAGTAAATAAATAAGCTCGGCACTCAGCTGTCATATTCATTATCTTAATATTAACGAACCCCCCAGGAATCACTGCAGGTCGAGATATACTGTCTTTAATTGAATTATTTTTAATTTTTCTGATGCAAAATAAAGAGATCTATCATGTTTTCTGTTCTGGATTGGATTCCATCATTATGTTTGTACGTAAATTTGAAAAACAAGTATCACAGACTAAACAATGGGTTTTAAATAAATGAAAAAATGCAAGTTAATTCCCCTAGACAGCTATATTTTGAAAGCTATATTTGGGCCCCATTCACTAACGGTTAAAAGCAATCCCTTTTCCATAAACTGTTGTTTAACAATAACCAACTGTTGTGCATCTGAAAATTTTAATTACATTTCACTTCAGCAACTTCAGCTCCCTAAAAGAGGAAAACAGATGCAGCCATTTGAAGGAGAAAAGCCAAATAAGTGAGTAGAACCCCACTCCTATAGGAAGCTTGAGGGTTTTGTGTACATTACACTTGTTGTTCCTTATAGTTGTCGACACTTTAGGCATTGGTAGTTGTGTAAAGATGGGCACCATCAAAGTTCAGGAAGAAAAGTCTAACATGCTCAAAATAACCAATAAAAAATGAGTTAGGCACAAATTATAGATTGTATTTCTCTGGATTTGTTATTTTTCTACCACATAAAAAGACATTAAAAGCAGAATATTTTCGTAATAAGACAAATAACCTCTCTTTTGGTCATGCCCTGACTAATGTGGTGTGGTGGTGTGTTATTTTCTACTTTGTTGTCCTCAGATATTCTCTAAGTGCAGCCTTTGGTCAGGCGACAGGTCAAATGCCATTTCCAAGAATGTGAAATAGACTATTGAAATAATACATTACTTTGAAATGTATCTTTTAATGAAACGTTAGATAAAAATGCAAGTTTTCTATCATGTCCACAAGGTTAAAACAAAATTCAGACTGAGCTCTTTCACATTTTGTACTATATTTTATTTTACTAAAGAACCTTTTTTAATTGTGTGTGCACATTCTTATGGATATAATGATGTTTAATTTCCCCAGTTCTAACTGATAATAAGCGACTTCTGGACGGTCATTGTTAGCCTGGATGTCCAGTTGTCATTCAATACACACACACTCATTCAACTGTACATGTGAAGGTTGATAATAACTCATAACTCATACACAAAGCTGCAAATGAAACTGCTTTCAGAATCTCTGTGTGGGGGGGGCATTTAGTAGGAGATAAGCTCACATCATTGGCTGGTTCATTGCTTCAGAACATTATATATCTGTTATCGTTTTCCCTATAATAAGGAAAAATAGAGACTGTACTCATTGTGTACAAAAAGAAGTTGGGAGTGATTAAGGCTGCTGTTGTATGCTCTGATTTTTAATTTATTTATCTATTTTTTGTCCCAGGCAGAAGGTGAAAGAGAATTCTGGACCACGCTCACCACGCTATTTCCCAACTATCTTATCAATTAAAATCATTTTTAGCGAATCTCTTTGTCTACCACAACTCACTTTTGAGGGTAAACTTTTAAATAATATATCATGTGAAAGCTTCTGATTCTGAAAGAAAGATGTGGTCCCTGCAAGAGAATATGCATTATTTATTATTCATCATTTATTTATCATTTATTATATAAATTCATTTATTCAGGGCTCGTGGCTCCTAAAAATCAGTTTCTAAATTGTCTCTAAATACACACTATGCTTTTGTCTGTGGATTAAATCATTCAATGTCTTTACAGAATGTGTTAAAATGTGTTGGTCAGTAGCATGTCCAGCATCATGATCAAAAACACACTAAAATCATGATAAACTACGCGATAAAAATAAAAAAGTAGGACTTCTGACGACATTTGTCATTTTCTTTTGTTTTTGTACATCATATTCAGAGATTTTACAAATGTTTTTCATTTCCTAAACTTACATTTATATTCATCCCTGTCCGCAGCTGACTTCATCATTTCTTTCCCAGTTCCTCTCTCCTTCCTTCAGCCCG